ATACTAAAGCATGAATGTGGGCACAATTCAGCATCTGCAGTCTCTACCCCTCTCAATGTATTTGAAGTCAAGTAGAGGAAAGTAAGGAGTTGTTAAGGATTAATTGCTCTTCTAGGGGAAGGGAGGGATACACTTTTAAAGGAGGAAGAAGTGCCAATCAGACTTTTGTTCTAGAGAGTGACTAATAAACAAGGTCAGAACAAACAGAAAAGAGCTGCTTTTTACCAAACAGCACTTGAAGCACTGTTCTCCATATGAACCTTAGCAAAACAAAGTATTTGCACAGAACTACAGACTGTGTGTCAAAATGCATATCAAATAGGATGGCCAAAAAAATACCGACCACATGTACAACTCATTTCCGTCAGTACATTTTTCATTAACCCAATGATTTCCAGATGGAGGAGGGATGTAATTTTAAAGACCTGCCCCTTGAGAATTAGTGGCTGAGGGGCAGGGAGGTAGGGGAAACAGATGTTGCTGAGCTGGCTTCAAGGAAACTTAAGTGGATTCACTGGGTGCTTATGTGTCAGGAGGTCTAACTTGAATCTCGGCTTTCTAGAAGTCAGAACCAAAGAAAATATATGAAAGTATGTAGTCCCCATTTTTCTTTTTTTTTTTTTAATTTTTCTTAATGATTGTTTTTTGAAAGAGACAGAGTACAAGTGGGGGAGAGGCAGAGGAGAGGGAGACACAGAATCCGAAGCAGGCTCCAGGCTCTGAGCTGTCAGCACAGAGTCCGACGCAGGGCTTGAACCCGTGAACTGCGAGATCATGCCCTGAACCAAACTTGGACACTTAACCAACTAAGCCACCCAGGTGCCCCTGTAAATGGCAGCATTTACTTTCCTCTGGCACCTTATAGTAGGAAGGTTTAGTAGGTGTATCTTTATATAAGTAACTTAACAGACATGTCTTTGACTATAGTTTTATAGAAATATTTTTCAAATGATTGTTTAACTGTTTAAAAAGCCAACAGCATGGTGTTTAATTATGATCTAAGGAAGTCCTATCTTGAGGAAACAGATAATAGGGTCTAGGGAAGTTGTTTCCTGCTAACACGGAGAGAGAACTCAAAGGATCTGGGAGAATTAATGTTTCACACACCCATTAGCTCTTTCCCCCCAACTACCAGAAGATTCAACTGAGCTGCTAGCAGGTGTCAGAACAGAGCAAATTCCTGGCTGAATTTTCTGACGAGTATCTGAAGTGCCGACCTCTGGTATTGATCATGCATATATGTTGTTAGGTACTGAATATGCAGGTGGAAAAATGAGTGTTATTAAAAAATTGAGTTGGCCCATGGATAAAAGAAGAGTAGAGGGAGTTGGTGGAAGAGTTTACATTCCTATTATCTGATGAGATGAGAAAGTATATTAGTGATTAGTAGTAAATAGTGCCTCAAACTGTCTTGCTCATTGTGCAAGACAATAGTCTAGGGGAAAAAAACCACATTCTATAAATAATAAATGCATTGTCTATGAATTACTAGATCTATAGTTTGGTGATATGTGTGGAAGAAGGAAAAGTAGAAACGTTTTTGAAAATGGATAAAATGCCGTTTTGAGTCTATTTAAAGACAACAAGTCCTAAGAAGCTATTTCAGATCGATCATTTGGTGACGATGGCGATACGGGCACACTGGTGGGGCACAAGCTAACAATTCCGGCAAACAGATGTTTCTCTAAGGCCTCTTTTACCTTTAAGTCACTGGTCTCAGGTTTTCAAAAGGAAAGGGTTACTGGCCCTGGGCTTGGTAGAGCTCCTCACCTACAAGCCTTTCAGAGCTCATTACCAGATTAAAGACTTCTTCTATTTCTCTTAAGAAAACATATCGTACGTCTCAGTATCCCAGGACTAAGTATGAAATTTCTACTTAGAGAACACTTCTAACACCAACTGTGTGGGTTTTCCCAAGAAGCAAGTCTCCAGTTCTCTGCGGACGCCAAGTAGGTGTCCAAAAATTTAGTTCTGCACTGTACCCGGAGTTAGCACAGACCCTACAGGGTGAAGGTTCAGTCCCACAAGACTGCTTCCCACTGCAGATGCCAGCCACAAATCCTAGGTTGTCGCCAGTTCCAGCGGACTACCAGTCGGGGTTCCCTCAAGTTCAATAATTTGCTTTAGTGGTTTACAGAACTCAAGGAAACACTTTACTTACTATTACCGCTGTATTCAAAAAACTACCATTCAGGCACCGCCAAATGGAAGAGATGCATGTGGGGAAGAGAGGGTATCAAGACAGGACGCAGAGTTTCCATGCCTTCTCTGGGAATATTAGCCTTCCAGCACCAACCCAAAAGCTCTCCCATAACCTCTCGGTTTAGGGTTTTTATAGAGGCTCCAGTACATAGGGAGGATCGATTACATCGCCGGCAATTGGTGATTAAACCAACATCCGGCCCCTCTCCCCTCCCCTGAGGTCAAGGGCTGGGGTTGAAAGCTCCGCCCCTCTAATCACGTGAGTGGTTCCTCTGGCAACCAGCTGCCATTAGCGAGCTATCAGGGTGCAAATAAGAGGGCAGTAAGCGGTATGGACTCAGGTGTGGTTGAATGGGGCTTATTATGAATAACAAAAGATGCTCCTTCCCAACCACTCAGAAAACACCAAAGTTTTAGAAGCTCTTGTATCAGGAACTAGGGAACAAAGACCAAATATATATTCTATCACAATATCACACCCAGAATCTTCCTTTATTATTGTCTGAGCAGATTAGATTCTCCCTTGCCTCTGCTGAAAATCTAAAGTTGCTTGCTTATAATAGTTTTCCACTCAAGTCTGAATTTTATATGAGTCTTCATCTCAGTATTACTTGAGACTTCAACATTTTTCATGGAATTTTATGGTTTCCCAGAAATTGTTATCAAAGCAAAGGATTACCATTACCATTACCATTACATGATTCTCCAGTCCTAGCTGTATTGAGGCTTTTTGCTTGTCTGTATTAAAGGGAGAAGATCTCCCAGGTGTTTTAAGTAAAATCTTGAAGCTAATTTAACTGGAAATGGTTATTTATGCTATCAGATTCACATTACACATCCAGTTGGTGTGTAATCAGAATTGAAAACCAAAGTGTCAACACTTGATGTAAATTTCAGAGGGCTGATCATTTTTTCCTAAATGGTTTTCTCAAGCATTAAAGTTAAGCAAAAAAGAGCTAACTATTGGGGCGCCTGGGTGGCGCAGTCGGTTAAGCGTCCGACTTCAGCCAGGTCACGATCTCGCGGTCCGTGAGTTCGAGCCCCGCGTCAGGCTCTGGGCTGATGGCTCGGAGCCTGGACCCTGTTTCAGATTCTGTGTCTCTCTCTCTCTGCCCCTCCCCCGTTCATGCTCTGTCTCTCTCTGTCCCAAAAATAAATAAATAAACGTTGAAAAAAAATTAAAAAAAAAAAGAGCTAACTATTAAACTATCCAAAACCTGGCTCCCTGAAATTACACAACGGTTATGACGCTTAGAAATTCCACAGTAAAATGGATTTATAACAAGTTAATTTGACCACGTTGAGGTAGCAATCCCAATGAAAAAAAAAATAGCCAAATAAGGAATCAATCTTCTTCATTCTTATTTACTGTGGCTGAATTACTGGCCAAGCTATTGCAAATCCTGACTTTACAACCTCCTTTTATTAAGTCTGCTAATGGATGTACAATATATATAGCTTTCAGAGGCCATCAAATTGGTTCCAGACACATGTGGGCTATAAGATTCCGGTGAGATAACATACGTACACACACATTCAGACATTCTAGGCAGGTCTCATCATGGAGGAAGATGAATATTAGAAAAAATAAGTTCTTTTATGCACCTGGATGCCCAGACACACTTGTGTTAACCCTAATCAGATGGCTAGTCCACAAGAATCTTCCCCAGATGACTCTGCCTGAAGGGCTGCAAAAGAAAATCAAGCCTGAATGCTTACACCCAAGACTGATTTATTAAAATCAGGCTTCTTGTAAACAAATGATGTAAATATCCTTAGTGAGGATATCCAGCCCCCACTTCCTACTATGTTCTGAGATAAGCCCTTTTAGTTACTTAGTATCTGTATCTGTAAAACAGAGATCATAATGGTGCCTGCTTCTCAGGGTTCTAGTGAGGATTAAATGCATTGAGTAAAGCTTAGCCCACGTAGTGTCCTGGGTGCTCTCTATTTTCATTTCTACTATCACCTTAGTCTGTATACTGTGGATTGTCTAGAGGCCTTCAGTATTGTCAGTAGTTTGGGACACTGGAAATTTTATCCTGCAGGACTGAACAGTATTAATCTACCTAATGATCAAATGACAAATGCTGGCATTTGTCATTCCAGGCATAATTCTCATTCTAGGCATAATTCATTCTAGGCATAATTCTAGGCATTCTAGCCATAATTCAACCAGTGATAAGTCTTTTCTTTTCTTTAACAGAGAGCAACACTGTCCCAGAGCTCTTTTGGAGGCTAGGCATATAGTAACAGGGATCTAAACCACACACTGTTGTGTTGCAAGGTGCAGTAATATTAAGTGTGGCGCTCGAAGCACATCCCCTCCATCTAGGGACTGGACCTCTGTGTGGATGAGAGGCTCCATACTCCAGCAGGAAAGTCCCCATCCTAGAATGCAAGTCAGAGATGCTACAATCAACCTAGCTACCATCACATCATTGTCTTCTCTGCCCTTTTTCTTAGGCTTTGCGCATGTGTGTATGTGTGTGTACTAAGGACCAACAACTTAGTCTTTGGTAACACAATATTAACATCTTAGATGTACAAAATTTATAAATCCAGTAGTGCAAGTCTGCCAATTTTGTGATTATTCAAGATTGTTTTTTGCAATTCTAGGTTCTTTGCATTTTCATAGAAATTTTAGAATCAGCTTGCTAACTTCTACCAAAAAAGAAAAAAAAAAAGCCTATTGAGATTTTGATTGAGGTTGCACTGAAACTATAGATCAATTTGAGTAATACTGACATCTTAACATTGAGTGTTCTAATCCACAGACATGATTTATTTCTCCATTTCTCCATTCTTTCTGGGTTGCAGCTGCAGTTCATTTCAATTCCCAGCAATTTCAAATGTCCCGCTTAGGGATTTAAGCCCCTTCCTCCAGCCAGGCTTAGGGATCTAAAAGCATGAGAGGACAGGACCTCTCTCTGCTTTTCCAGATCGCCTGCAACTTTTCCTAGGCCACTGAGTCGGCCCCAGTCTACTGGGGAGAGGTGGCTCTGCATTTGAGGCTCCTCCGTGCTAATCCACCATGCTGCTCATACAGGGCTTTTAAAAGCTTGACTGGTTTCTCCTGGTTTCAGAAGTTCCTTTGCCTGTGCATATGGAAGGCTGGCTTCTCTGCCTGCCTGGTCCCCAAAGTTGAAAATGCCACCGGGCATGAAAGTGTCCACTGGTCTCTGCCAACTTAGGGAAGGGATAGTCCTTCTCTAGAATTAATTCGTTGGGCCCCCTTTGCATCCACAACTCTCTGGTGGCTTCTAGAAAAAAACACAATATTTTAAAATATTATTTTTTCCAAGTGTTTTCTCAGTGTTGGTGGTAAGAGCAATCTTTTGCAACCTTCCACATCTACCTGCAAAGAGAATCAAGATAGGGATTTTTAAAAACTGAATTTAGACAATCTTTTTTTTTTTTTTCTTCATGTAAGTCAACCTGTTAGGAGGAGTCTATACTTGAACTCTTCTCCCAACATGAAACACGAAAACCTACATTTCATGCTATGTTAGAACATCAGGCCCTAGATTCAAGCAACTCAAATTTTCTCTCTCTCAGGGACAGAAAGAATCCTGGTGAATAAATGGATTTTTTTTTTCTTTTCACGCTATTTCAGATTTTGGATATTTGCATTTCCCATCAACATGTCAAGTGACATGATAAAACCAGGTCATTCCGTTAAAATTCATCAGAAAGTTGATCCACAACGGGCCACTGCTAGAACCTTTTTCATTGATGCTTCTAATCAGAGCTTGACTACCATTCCACCAGAGATCTTCGACTTCGAAGAATTAGAAGAAGTGCATCTGGAAAACAACCAGATTGAAGAAATCCCCCGGGGTATTCAGCGTTTAAAGAACGTCCGGATCCTCTACCTGAACAAGAACAAGCTGAGAAAGCTGTGCCCAGAGCTGGGCACGCTGAGCAGCCTGGAGGGCCTGGACCTGAGCGACAACCCGCTCCTGTCCTCGGCCCTTCCTGTCCTCAGAGGCCTGCGGGGGCTGCGGGAGCTCCGCCTGTACCACACTGACCTGGCCGAGATCCCCGTGGACCTCTGCAAACTCCTCCACCACCTCGAGCTGCTTGGGCTGGACGGAAACCACCTGAAATCTCTGCCCAAGGAAGTAGTGAACCATACCAAACTGAGGGAGATCTACCTGAAGCAAAACCAGTTTGAAGTCTTTCCTCCCGAGCTCTGCGCTCTCCCCAACCTGGAGATCGTTGACCTGGATGACAACAAACTAACTGCCATCCCACCGGCGATTGGGAACCTGACCAGGCTGCAGAAGTTCTACGTGGCTCGCAACAACCTGCTCCTCCTACCCGAGTCGCTGTGCCAGTGCAGCAAACTGTCCGTGCTGGATCTGTCCCACAACCGCCTCCACTCGCTCCCACACTCCCTGGCCGAGCTGTCGGGGATGACGGAGACTGGGCTGAGCGGGAACCACCTGGAGAAGGTGCCACGCCTCATCTGCAAGTGGACCTCGCTGCACCTGCTCTACCTCCGCGACACCGGCCTGCGGGCGCTGCGGCACTCCTTCCGGCGGCTGGTCAACCTGCGCTTCCTGGATCTCAGCCAGAACCATCTGGAACGCTTTCCGCTGCAGATCTGTGCGCTCAGGAACCTAGAGATCCTGGCGCTGGATGATAATAAAATATGCCAGGTACCGATTCCCTTCCCGGCTGTCACTGTGCCCTCACAGGGGCTTTTCCCGCCCCGAGTTGGTGTTGATGTCCTCCTCATTTGGACGTGGGCGATCTTCTCCTCGGCGATACGTGGGGGAAATGAGACACTGGGAGCTTAACTAACCCGTCAAGGCCACACACCTGTACGTGGCAGAACCGAGCTCCAACCCAGAGCTGCGGGGCCCCAGAGTCTATGTTCTTAACCAAGACCCGCTCTGAACAGGGTTTCCTCACACAGATTTCTCTCTGACACCTACAGCCTTAGGCCTCCAGTCATGGTGAACTGCAAAATCAGATTTGTCCCAAAAGAAACTGCCATGTGTGCAGGGTGACGTGTTCAAAAATGTTCATAGCACAGTGTTGACAGCCCACCACAGTCATGGGAGACCGTGTCAATAGAGCAATGAGCCAACAGATTGTGCTAGATTTATAAAATTAAAAAACTAAAGGTTTAAGTGAACTGGAGGAGTATGTGCCAATGTGGACAGATCTTAAAATTGTGATGTTTATTAAAAAGGAAAGCACCAAGCTGCAGAACCTTACACCATTTATAAATTTTTAAAAACCTTTTTTAATGTTTTTATTTATTTTTTCAGAGACAGAGCACCAGTGGGGGAGGGGCAGAGAGAGAGGGAGACACAGAATCCGGAGCAGGCTCCAGGCTCTGAGCTGTCAGCACAGAGCCCGGATGCAGGGCTCGTTGAATCCATGAACTGAGAGATCATGACCTGAGCTGAAGTTGGGCACGTAACTGACTGAGAGCCATCTAGGTGCCCCTCACCATTTATAAATTTTTAATCACACAAAACTACATACATATACACACATAATACATACTTTGTGGATATTTACAAATGTAACAAAAGTATAAAAATATGAACTAGACGGGCCCCTGGGTGGCTCAGTTGGACTTTGGACTCAGATCATGATCTCCCAGTTGAATGAGTTCGAGCCCCCCATGGGGCTCTCTGCTGTTAGTGCAGAGCCCAGTTCAGGCCCTCTGTCCCTCCCCCTCTTAAAAATGAATAAACATTTATTTTAAAAAAATCATGAACTAGAAAAAAACTCGCTAAATTTTTAGTAGTGGCTGCCTCTGGGAAGAGAAAGGAAGTCAAGGAAATGAGGGGAGGATCCCAGGGGAGCTCAATTTTAATTGCAGTATTTGATTTTATTAAAAAAATCTTTTTATTTGACTATAGTTGACACACATTCATTTTGTTTATTAACAAAAGATTTGGGTGGTGAGGACACATGCATTTGTTTTAATATTTGAAAATTTAAAAGAACAGTTCTGTTAAAAGCAAAAGACAACCATAGAGGGAGAAATCAGGCCATCTGGAAGTCAACAACTGTGATCAAATAATAGGTGTGTTTTTCCCGGCCATGGACACCAAGCTGCTGTGTTCACCATACCTTATACAAGTCCTAGGCCTTAAAGGTTTGTTGGGGGTGTTTTTGTTTTTGTTTAATCTCTTATTTGATTTTTAATTTAGAACTTTGGAGGGGCAGGGGAGATTGGTTGTTCTTTTTCTAATTCCTATAGAGTTTCAAAACTGCCTTTTAGGGGGTAACCATTTTGATGGTAATTTAGGATTTAGGAAGAGAATCTTGGACTTAATCTCTACTTAGGCAGCAACCCATTTTGCAGGATTTTAGAAGTTTATCATAGGCCCTCTGCCCATCCCCATTCCACCACTGAGGTAAGAAATTCCTTTTACAGTAGACAAAGTCTGCCATTCCACACTGGGAGTGAGAGGCTCAAAATATAAAGCGCCTTTGGGAAAAATAACACGTCGACTTAATTCCTTATTGAGTCATGAATGATACCTAATCCTTTCCTGTGAAACACTTTAAGATATCAGAATAGAGGAAGGAATCACATACAGATGGCTCCTTAAAGATAAGCCTCATCCGGTACCAAGTTTTACCACAAATCAGGCTGCACTGAAATGTGGTCGTGTTCAATATTATTATACTGAATGTGGAAATCTCTGTGTCCATTGCCTGCTATTCTATTCTCTAATTCTTATGATGGTATTTCTGGGTTTTGTTTGTTTTTCTCATTTCCTGTTATGCTAATCCCTCCAGTAACCTCCCAGTCTGTATAATGACACGTGACCTTTATGCCAGCTCCTTACCTCTCCCACCCCAAAGACTTTCCTGATGGGTTTCTGGCTCCTGGAGCCTGGCCAGTAGCCTTCTCTTGCCTAGGTGAATGCAAAAGTAGCTTCCAGTGTGTGTCTAGATGGATCTTATTTGTATGGTACATTTCTGTTAAGGGAGAACTCAACCTTACGGTGAGTATAGCTCAGTGAGAGCATCAGTAATAACTGTCCTCATTTGACACTCTGTAGGTTTTCTGTGCATCCAGATTTACTTCCACTGTGCTTTAATGTGACTGTTATGGGATTATTGGATCTTGAATATCCTGGAAAAAAAAGTCTTTAAACATTCAATGTGCTTTGAAAAAGAAAAGCTAAACCTATGAGCTAGCTGAACCGCGATGTGAAATTACTAGGTTCTAATGAAGGGGTTAGATTGAAAAACATTTTCCCATAAGTTTGGACGCTTTGTGTCAAAGGGATCTAGGGGCGCCTGGGTGACGCAGTCGGCTAAGCGTCCGACTTCAGCCAGGTCACGATCTCGCGGTCCGTGAGTTCGAGCCCCGCGTCGGGCTCTGGGCTGATGGCTCAGAGCCTGGAGCCTGTTTCCGATTCTGTGTCTCCCTCTCTCTCTGCCCCTTCCCTGTTCATGCTCTGTCTCTCTCTGTCCCAAAAATAAATAAACGTGTCAAAGGGATCTAAGTGCCTGGTAAAGAATTTTGAAATAGCTAAGAAGGAAAGCTCAAACAGCAGCTTCTCTGGAGATTGACTTTAAAAAATAAGTAAAGGGATAAATAAAACTATAAACACTTTATAGCATGTTTAGGAAAATGGGTGCTCCCCCTACCCAATAAAGAAAAAATCTGAAAGATTGCGGCTGAGACTTACTGCTATGTTATCCCTCTAGGGGGCTTTCTTTTAACCTATTCCCCAATGTATCTATCCCACCCATCCATCGAGGGGTCAGACTGAGCTGGTCTGTAACCATTCTCATGAAGAAGAGGTGCTGGATTGAGGAACGGGTGGAGGAGAGGCCAGGGCTAAGACTGGGAACTGTGGGGAACGATTTCCCCATTAGGAGTAAAGCCAGATGATGGAAGGTGATTCAAAGTGAATTAAGAAGCTCTTGAGCTATATAGCTGGGCTCTTTTTTCTCCAAGAAAACAGGTGTCTCTGTAACATAATCAATAGGGAGACCATCCCGTGTTTTAAGAATGAGATTTTTCCATGTGGTTCCAGAGTGCCAGAAAGAGACCAGAAGGTGGACACATGAGACTTTGACTTGACACAAGAAGGAAATCTGGTGATTAGAGGTCTCCATCCAAGTAATGAGCTTTTCGTTCCAGGAAGTGGTGTTTAAATGTGTGCTGGATGGCTAGCTGTGGAATATATTCAACCATCCTATTATGGGATTAGAATAGACGACCCTTCCAAGGCCTTCCCGCCCAGACAGTTGGGAGTCTCTGAAATGCCTACCTAATACCTGTAGAGGGCCTGTAAAACCTTGGGATTCACTGGAAGGCAGAATATGACCAGATAAAATCATAATAGTCTTCTTCCTTGTTTACTTCCAACTGAGATTTCAACTGAAGTTTCTAAATTGCTGAGCCTTTAGGGTGAGAGGTCATGTGTCTAAATTGATCAGTTCCAATAACTGAAATTGTTGATATTATAGTTGCAATATTACACCAATAACTTTAGTACGTTTTCAGTAATATCAAGCATTTGCTACCCTACCATTCAAAAATCTGCAATAAAGTAGGTTTAAAATTGCTTCAGTTTAAAGCAGTGCATAAAATTGAAGAGCAGAGAGGCTCATCAGAAAAAGGAGGACTCCAGACTTTAGATCTACAGGTATAAATACTCTATATGCAACGGTGTGTGCAAACTTTTCATCAGTAGGAATTGCTAAATCGCTGTACTTGATGTTTATCAATTTGCCTCAAAACTAAAAGCCCAATTTATTTTCTTACTGTTAAAGATAATTTTGACCTGAAACTTATCTTTTTGGAATACTTCTAGTTACCTCCAGACTTTGTATCCCTTTCAAAGCTGAAGATGCTTGGATTAACAGGAAATCAGTTGGCTTCATTTCCAGAAGAAATCCTTTCTTTAGAGTCTTTAGAGAAATTATACATTGGGCAAGACCAGGGAGCCAAGCTCACCTATATGCCAGAAGACATTAGTAAACTACAGGTAAGCCTCCCCAAATGATTAGGCAAAGAAGTACATGCCCACTGATTCCTTAAGTTGGCTGATACTGAGAACACCCAATGGTGTCCCCATAGGCTGCATGTGGAATCATCCATACTAGATTTCCAACCCCCTAACAAGCAGCCATTATTCCACTCTGAGGCTTCCACTGTTTTTCTGAGCCCCTGGATCCATATTCAAAGAACATTTTGTTGTGATTGCTGTTGGTTATGCTGTGCCATACTCCTTTTCACTGTACGGTTTGGCATGTTTCATTTGCAGAAATTGAGCCCCACTGCTTTCCATTTAATTTCTAGCTTTTGTAGGAGGCCCCTGAAAATTATACTATTTTGAAGTTCACATGGCTGGGAGCCTGCATTTTGGATGCATCAGCGTGACCTCCCTTCCTGCATGATGGCAAACAAACCAGAATAATTTAACGTTGCCCCAGTTTCCTGTGGAAATGGGTCCGCAGCCCTGTGCTAAGTCCTAACAAAGCAACAAGATAACTTCATTCAAAGGAGCCCTACCACTGTGTCTTAATCCATGCATACTTTAAAGAATTGATTTTTTTTTTTTCCATGTCGGTGGTACTGCGCTCTTACTAATGATAAAGTAGGTGCGGGCCACGACAGACCCCCGCCCCTCGTTGTGGAACTGAGCAACAGCATGTGTATATAGCACAGGTGCTTCTCAACCTGTGGCACAGAGGTCCTCTTCCTGATTCTCCATTGCTTTGCCCTGTGTTCAGAACTCTCCTCATCATCTTGCTCCTTGACATGCCATGCCATGCTCTCTGAAATCTTAGGGTGACATGCAAACATTATATTTTTGCCCAGTGAATTTGCAAATAGTTAATTCATTATCTACACATTTTGGCTTCTCCTGCTTGGGCAGTGTTGGATTGATACCTGAGGCAATTTCAGTTCTGTAACACTACTATAGATAATTAGCTTTTGAAAGCGAGCAAATGATATATGTACTTATATTATCAAATTAGTTTTCCATAAAGTTCTTGTGAAACAAACGCTAGATTCCCATGTTTTCTTTTCCCTGTGTAGATGGGAACCATATCCAATGGTTTTACCCAAAAATACTTTTATGTTTGGATGTTGGCTCTTTAAGTATGTTTCCCCCTTTATCCTAATGAATAGTATCCCCACTGAAAGAGCATGGGAATTCACCAATGATTCTGGTTATTAGAATGTAAGGATCATTGGGGCGCCTGGGTGGCGCAGTCGGTTGAGCGTCCGGCTTCAGCCAGGTCACGATCTCGCGGTCCGTGAGTTCGAGCCCCGCGTCGGGCTCTGGGCTGATGGCTCGGAGCCTGGAGCCTGTTTCTGATTCTATGTCTCCCTCTCTCTGCCCCTCCCCTGTTCATGCTCTGTCTCTCTCTGTCCCAAAGATAAATAAACGTTGAAAAAAAAAATTAAAAAAAAAAAAAAAGAATGTAAGGATCATTGTAAGGATCATTATGGTCTACTGACATGTTTTTCAGAATCTTTTTTTTTTAATTTTTTTAATGTTTATTTCTGAGAGATAGAGACAAGTGTGAGCAAGAGAGGGGCAGAAAGAGGGAGACACAGAATCAGAAACAGGCTCCAGGCTCTGAGCTTTCAGCACAGAGCCTGACACAGAACTCAAATCCATGAACCGTGAGATCATGACCTGAGCCGAAGTCAGATGTTTAACTGACTGAGCCACCCAGGCACCTCTGTTTTTCAGAATCTTAAAGAGCTGTATATAGAGAACAATCATCTGGAGTACCTGCCCACATCCTTGGGATCCATGCCTAACCTGGAAATTCTAAATTGCTGCCACAACCTGCTTAAGCAACTTCCAGATTCCATTTGCCAAGCACAAGGTGAGGAATCTTAGTAGATCCTCAGTGTAGTGGAGTGTGAGGCCAGCATGTCCCATTTCCTTGATTTACCAAAGACCAATCTCAATGTTCAGAGAGCTGAGCCCTACCCTATTACCTCCTCGAAGGCCTCACTAGTGAGACAAGGAAAGCCAGATGCCTGATGAGCACAGCTAAGAGCCTCACAAAGACAGTTAGACTGTTTCTTGTAAATTGAATAGAGGAGTAAATACCAACTGCTAAGAAAATTAGCATTCACCCAGATGGTCATCATACAACCAACACTAATTTACTGAATACCTACTACATGCCAGAATTTGGAGTTGGGGGTCCTGCGGCAGATTTGCACTAGGTCACTAAGTCACTTGAATGAAAGGAAAAGTGTTGACCCTGAGTGATGAAATCAGCAAGGCAGGACTTTTGGAGCTGTATGATTGGCATGAAAAGTCCTATATGATTCATATTTAAACACCCAAACATTTTATGCTAGGCTAAACCAGTCTTTATTTGTACATGCATCAGTTCATCCATCCATTTAACAACCTTTTGCTGAGCTTCTAGGGGGACCAAATTAAAAAAAAAAATGTTTTTGGCCATAGTGTGCTGAATCTTCAGGTTTAGAGATAGTTTTCAAACTATGACTCTTTCTCTTTAATGAAAAGAGGGTGAAGAAATATGAGTGGAAGCTGTGGCCTACCCCCAAGACATTCAAAGGTTAGAGGTGAGGGTGGGCTTGTTCCTTAGTAATGCTTCTGACCATACATCTTTATCCTGTCCTTGGCCCCTGGAGGAATGAACCATTATCAGTTTTTTTTTAGTGTGTACTACTTTTCTGTCTCTCATGCACTGGCTCTCACAACCCTGAACTGTTATAAGGAAGAGAACTTGGTCTGCCTTATGCAATCTGTGTCTTTTGTGACACGACAGCACAGGAAACAAATATTTCAGAGCCAGTAGACTAAAGAGCGTACATTTTAATTTTGCTTGCTCTTAAGATGAACCTATCATTGAAAAACAAACTGTTTCAGCTTTGAAAGAATTACTGCTTGAGGACAACTTGATCACCTGTCTTCCAGAGAATTTGGATAGCCTGATGAATCTAAAGGTTTTGACACTGATGAACAATCCTATGGAGGACCCCCCAGGAGAAGTGTGCGCCGAAGGCAATCAGGCTATATGGACATACTTTAAGACAAAAAGAAACATGAAAATAATGGCAACAAAGGTAACAGCAGCAAAAATTCTGGCACATTCACAGTTGCTTTGGAGAGGGGTTAATGTTAAATATATTACAGACTATTCTGGAGCTGCTCTTTACACATCTATACCTTGTCCTCACCGAGAGTAGGGACTCTTACTTCCTTTATATCCTCAGAATTAAGCAAGAGGAACTTGGAATACCATCTTAGCATTTTTTTTTTGCATTTTTGTCCTTCATGTCTTTGTCAGATAAGGAGGCGACACACAGCTGAAAGAAATCAAAACTTCAAATCCCCCAAACAGTCTAAAATTCTTGGACTATTCGAAGGACTGAAGAGCTTATATTAACAAATTCACTAAGCTAAGGCTGCAAAATCAGAAGTGAAAGTCCTGACAGGGCAGGGGTGTAGAGACCGGAGTTCTTCTCTGCCATTAACTAGGATTGAAGGGCGAAGAGCCTTTAAAACAAGGAGAGCAAAGAATCTTGTCCTCTCCTTACCCACCTCGCCCATGGAGACATAGGATACCCCCAGACAGACTAGGACAGGCCAGGGTCCACTTCAGTCAGTATTCAGTATTCTTTATTCAACTGGTCAAGCCCCCACTGCCCCACAACCTGATGACCACATTAGTCCTCCCATTAGTGCCCCCACTTGTATAGCTGCACCCCCTACAGTATACCTTCCACTTGGCAGTCAGACCAATGCTGTTAAAATGTAGGTCAGATCTTATCACTGCTCTGCTGAAATCCATGATTTTCCTTTTTACCCAGAACAAGAGTCAGTCTTTGATCTCCTCTGTCAATGGCCCTTATCTGTATCAAACCTAACACCCTCTCTTCTGTGATAAATATTATGTGATACCTTCTTTCTTCTTCCGAAGTTAAACTCAGATAATGTAACCTACCAAAACCACATAATTTTTTAAAAATGTTTATTTATTTACTTTGAGAGATACAGAGAGGGGGACATGGAGAATCCCAAGCAGCCTCTGCACTGTCAGCACAGAGCCTGATGCAGGGCTCGAACTCACCAACTGTGAGATTGTGACCTGAGCCGAAACCAAGAGTCAGGTGCTTAGCCGACTGAGCCACCCAGGTGCCCCAACACAATTTTAATAAATGAAAATAATGCCCAAGCTGCAACATAAAGGAAAAAGGAAAGTAATTTATATTATTTATTTTAATATGTATATTCTCAGGAATAGCTACACTGGAAGAATGAAAATAATATTTTTTGGATACTTCCTAAAAGTATTGTGAGAAACCTCTTGCACATTTTAAAATTGATATTTAGGGGTGCCTGGATGGCTCAGTAGGTTAAGCGTTCAACTTCGGCTCAGGTCATGATCTCATGGCCAGTGGGTTCAAGCCCTGCATCAGGCTCTGTGCTGACAGCTCAGAGCCTGAAGTCTGTTTCAGATTCTGTGTCTCCCTCTCTCTCTGCCCCTCCCCTGCTTGCACTCTGTCTCTCTCCCTCTCTCAAAAATAAATAAACATTATCAAAAATATTAAAAAATAGTAAAGTTGATATTTAATTTTTTTGCCACTAAGTTTAAATTATTGCAAAGGATTTACTTGCCAGTGAGTTTTGAATATTGACATCTTGAAATAGAGCTCTTAGATCAGTATCTTAAATGTATCCAGTGGATTCTAAATACCACTATGATTTTGTCAGTCACATCGGTTTACGAAATACTTGAGCAAACTTATTTTCTAGGCAAAAATTTTATATCCGTTTTCTTCTTGAACATGTATGTCTATTTCACTTTCCCCTAAGAATTGATCTTAATGTTTTATATATGTAATTCTAAGTCATTTATAGATCACCGTTCATACTTTCAGGCAACAAAAATATTTATACAAATTAAGTTTTAAAATTAAATTTTTTTCTGTGGCCATAGTGTTTCTACATCCTGGATTGAGTCATATTACAATTCTTAGTTGCGTAAAACTGAACAAAACAGCATAAAATCCATTGCAAATTTTGGTGGTTAATTATTTGACCTATAGGACTTGGGGGAAGAAATACATACACAGATGAGACTTTTCCACATCGTTTATATATTCCCACATAAACATTACTATAAGTAATGCTTATAGCATTACTTATTGCTAGAATGTGATAGGGTTGATGTCAGTTCTAGTCCCATTTTTCATTTTATAGATGAACCTTGTTTACATAGTTAAATTGAAAAGAATGGAAGAAGCTTTGTGTGCGTGTGTGTGCGCGCGCGCGCCCATACTGTTTTGTTTCAAATGGTAATGATTCACACATCTCTGAACTTCTTCCAGATTTCTATCCCAGAAACTCATAGCAGGCTCTTAGCTGGCAAATCAACTGGCCTTCTTCCAATTTTCTTGAGGGCAAAGAGCTGGGAACCACTTGCTTTACAAAAGGATTGGTTACCTAGTCCCTAGAGCCAACATCAATACTGCTAGTCTTTTATTATTGAAATGTAATTGACATACAATTCTATATTAGTTTTGGGTCACATCACATATTGATTTGACGATTCTGTGTATCATGCAGTGTTCACCACAGTTAGTCACCACCAGTCCCCTAGTCCACTCATGCCCCCACTGTTCTCTGTATTTAAGAGTCTGTTTTATGGCGTTGTTTGTTCATTTGTTTTGTTTTTTTCAATACTGCCGCTCTATATTGTCTCTTTTTTTGTGGTGTCCCAGAGGTTTCTGGAGTCCAGCTCAACACACCCTAGTCAGATTCAGGTGGGAGTTGTGAAGGCAGAAGTGGGAATGGAGAAAACCAGCAGTTGTTTTCCTAGGCAGAGACATTGTAGGAAGGGGTGCACGTGCAAGCTGAAGCTCTGGAGATGGGTCGCCTCCAGATCATCCAAGCCTGCACACCCTGGAAAAGTCTCTGTGCACCGGGTACATGTTACACAACTGGAAGACTGCTAAGCCTGGAGATAACAGAAAACCCCGTGAATGTCTAGAATGCCTCTAGAGGGCGATACCGTTCCCTGGGAAAATCCCCACCTGAACGGATGTGCTGATGCTGTCACTTCCCATCTCATCTGTCCCGTTTTCACATCACAAACGATCCTTGGTATTTTTCCCCTGCTCCTCCCTCTGCTCAGATACGGACAAGGCTCTCACTTAGTTCAGTCCCTGCTCACATCTCCTCATACCTGCCTGTGATCCACTTTACATAAAACAGCATAGCCCACCCACTCCATTCATTCAGTTGTTCACTCATCAACAAATACTTATTTTTTGCTTTTTGCTATGTGCCAGGCACTGTTCTAGGCAGTGGAATTGCATCAGTGAGCAAAACAGATTTTTTTTCTGTCCTCTTATTGCCTAAAGTCTAGTGTGATGGAAATGAAAAAATGAAATATAAAACATAAAATTATATAGTCTGTTAGAAAGTGATAACTGGCATGGGAAAAAAGTTCAAGCTAAGGGGAACTGAGATCGCCAGAAGTTGTGTGTGTGTGTGTGTGTGTGTGTGTGTGTGTGCAGGGGAGGGGGGTTGGTTGTGTTGAGGGAGGTTCAATTTAAATAGGAAGGTCAGGGTAGGCCTCATTGGAAAAATGACTGGCTTAGTCAGCTCAAGCTCCCATAACAATATACCATAGACTGGGTGTCTTAAACAACAGAAATTTTCTCACAGTTTCAGAGGCTGGAAGTCCAGGATTATGGTGCCGGCATGGTCCATTTCTGTTGAGAGCTCTCATTCTGCCTTGCACATGGCTGTCTTCTTGCTGTGTCCTCTCATGACAGAGAGACAGAACGCGCTTTCTGGTGTCTCTTATAAGGGCACTAATCTTATCGTGAAGACCCCACCCTCATGACCTCATCTAAGCTTAATTACCTCCCAAGGGCCCATCTCCAAATACATTCACATTGGAGGTTAGGACATTTAACATAAAAGCAGGGAGTGAGGGGGCACGGTTCAGTCTACGGCCATGACAAGTGAGCAACTACTGGAAGAACTGGAGGGTAAGCCATCTGAATATTGGGAAGAGTGTTCCAGACAGAGGAAGCAGTACACACAAAGGCTGTGAGCTGAGGTTGTGCCAGGAGTGTCTGACAGTGGGGAGCCCCGCACAGTTGGAGCACAGTGAGCGAGGTGGGGGAGTAGGTAAGAGGCAGTGAGGTCGAGAGGGAGGGGGCAGATTGGATAGGGCCTTGTAAGCCACTGTAAGGACTTGAGCTTTTTTTCTGAGAGAAGTGGGGAGGCACTGGAAGGTTCAGAGGTGGGATATTTCTGAGTAGGTGGAGGGCACAGGATCTCAGAACGAGCGAGGGCTGGCTGTAGGTAGAAGCACAGCAACCCAGTAACAGAGGGAAGACAGGTATAAGCCCTCCTGATTTCCCCTTACTGTGCTCTGTTTTCTCCATGGCACTTATTACCATCTATCCTGTATCCTCTCCTTCCTGCAATGTGAGATCAGTGACATTAGCTTTTTCTTTAAGTTTTTATTTATTTATTGAGAGAGAGAAAGCCAGAGAGAGAGAGAGAGAGAGAGAGAGAGAGAGCAAGCAGGGGAGAGGCAGAGAGAGAGGGAGAGAAAGAATTCCTGGCAGGCTCCACCCAGTGAGAAGCTTGATGCGGGGCTCCAACCCATGAACTGTGAGATCATGACCTGAGCTGAAGTCAGACGCTTAACCAACTGAGCCACTCAGGTGCCCCAGTGACATTTGCTTTTAACTGCTGTTTCCTAAATGTCTAGAACAGTGCCCGTGACATAAAAGCACTGAATTTTTCTTTTCTTTCTTTTCTTTTCTTTCTTATTTTTTTACATTTGCCAAGATGACTGGCCAATTGAGAGAGAGAAAATAAGGTGGAGTTCTAATGACATTCCATTCCCTACGTCTTTAGAACTACATATCCAGAACAAAGAGATCGCCATCCCCAGTCCAGAGTGATACCAGCTGATGCTGTTTGGGTTTATCTTGTTTTCAGATTCAGGCATGGTGGCGCGGAATAATGGTCCGGAAAGGACTGGGGAGATTTGAAGAACTAAAAGTGCAAAAGAAAGGAAAGACTTCTCCAAAAGATAAGAAAGGGGGGGAAAATGCAAAAGGAAAAGCTGTGAAGAAAAATAAGAAATAATTCTATAATGAATTGAGGTAATGAACCCCGATGGATTACGAAGGCAAAACATCTAGGAATTAGATACCTAGCACACTAAAATTATTCATAGAATTATGGTTATGTGTAAAAATAAAGATTCTCAATTTATTGAAATATTTATGGATGAAATGATATGATGCCTGGGAACTGTGGCATAATATCGGGGAGAGGGAAGTGTGGGGGATCCAAATGGAACAAGATCGGCCTTAAGTCAGTAAGTATAGACACATGAGATAGGCAAATGGAGGTTCATTGTACTACCTTCTCTACAACTTTTTTTAAAGTTTATTTATTTAAGTAATCTCTACACTCAACATGGGGCTTGAACTCATGACCCCGAGATCAAGAGTTCTATGCTCTTCCTACTGAGCCAGCCAGGCACCCCTACAACTTTTAATTCTGAAATAGAGACTCATAGGAAGTTCTGAAGAAATGGACAGGGAGGTCCATGCCCCTTCACCCTCCCTCAGTGTTGACATCTCACATAACTCTAATAACGAAACCAGAATAGCTTATTCAGATTCCTTCTGTAGTATGTGTGCTTCTGTGTGAGTGTGTAGTTCAACACGGTTTTGTCATGTGGACTTGTGTGGCACAAGTCTCCTTTGTGCTATTCCTTTGTCACACCTATGACCTACCCCTCTTCTGATCCCTAGCCTTTTCTCCATCTCTGTAATTTTGTTATTTCAAGAATGTCCTATAATTGGAATCACAGACTACATAACCTTTGGGGACTGGCTTTTTCATTCAGCAGAACTGGAAGTCCATTTGCATTGTTGATGTATCAATTTATTGCTAAGCAGTATCACCTAGTACGATAGTTTGTTTAAGCATTCACCCACTGAAGGATATTGGTGTTTCCAGTTTTTGCCTAATTCATAGGTTTTACATGTGTTCACGTAAACACAGGAGCACAAGTGCCCATGGAATCCATGGGGATGCCCAGAGAATGAATACCACAATTACCTAAAACATCCCCATTTACATCACCCAAAAGCTTCTTATCCTGATGGCTTTCTTTTGGAGTAATTTTGATTTCAAATTCCACATGTCTTTCAAGCAATAATTGCAACACAAATTATTAGTGTAGCAACAAGAAAGCAAAACATCATTAGAGTGTATGAGAATAGAAATGTGTGAGCAAACACACACTTCTGCTATGCAGTGAGTTCCATGCTCCTGCAAAAGATACCGCAGTATTTTAAAAATCACTTAGAGCAAGACAAAAACTTTTTAATGAATTAAATAGGTTTTATGTAGCAAAAACCATGCCAAAAAAATGCCCAGAGCTAGTATGTTAGTTTCTTTCAACAATAAAAATTTTAACAAGATGTGTTTTTGATACTGGGTTTTGATTTTTTGACCACCTTTTTACTAAGATTTATGTCAGTGACCATTGTTAGCATTCATGGTTTATATCTGAGATAAAAAGCACCAGGACATAAAATAATAAACCATGGAAGGGCACACTTCCTGATGAAAATGCAAGTAGTTTACATTAAGATACATATAATAATAATGATAACATAAAACTATTACATAGCTAGTGCTTTTCACATTAGATTTCACACTCACACTCATACACACACTCACACATGTACTTACACACCCTTATATTTAGAACATTTATCATGTAGGAAAACAAGGGGGAGAAAATCCCGGGGCAAGAAAAAAGGAAATGTGTTACCAGAATCTAAACATCTTTGGCAGGCCTTCTAAATAGTAAGTGAATTAGATTTCCAAAATAAATGAAACTCCAGGGGAAAATGTCATCCTTGTCATTTGAGAATAAAGACATGCTCATATTAGATTACCATATACATATTTACAAAGCTTTTGTAACATCAATCCCACTAAACAGCCCAGAAGTTGATACTCCTTTGATTACACTGGGATTCATTCATGTTTTTTTCCTCCTCCAGATAATGGTTTATAGCTTAGTTAAGCCATGGGAAATCAGCTTTCTGAAATTCACCAAGGTCAAAGTGAATGCTGCATCTGTGATCTTGGTGAAAACGTTGGAGTTCTTCCTCCTGTGTAGCAGGGAGGATCCACCTTTTCATCCCTATCTCCGTGATCTTGGGAAGTGTGGTGACAGCACATAACAAATGTCTAAACCATTGTCCGCAGTCCCGGGAAGTTGATGGCCTAAGGCTGATATCCAGCTCGGTTAACTCTTTGAGGAACCACATGTTTTGGCAGAAGATGGCCCATCCTGTGTCACAGATATTGTCGTTATAGCTCAGGATAAGCTTCTGCAGCTTGGCAAGATGACCCGTCTGTATTAGTGATGCTGAAAAATGAGATCACGCTAAGTGCTAAAATACAAGAATACTTTCTACTGTGGCTGTTTGCCACTTCCAGTAACACAGTAGCTCCAAGGTTGGTAATGACAAGATAGGCGATTCTTAATGATTTGTTATTAGCTACCAGCTTTAATCAGGGCATCTGAACTTACCAGAGCTATTCTCTGTGTATTCCAATACAGCTTGAAAAGTGTTCGTTTTTTCTTTCCAAATCCCAACCCAAAGAATATCTTTTTTGTCAAGTTCCTGCTCTTGGCTCAACTAGAGTCCCAGCTCTTCCTGCAGACTCTAATTAAATATGGGAGTGATTGGCTTTAATGAGGACCATTTATTTGTAAATAGTCTTCTTGCTGTTTAATACTGTTTAATTGTTCACTGCTCATTCAGTCATTCTTCATTCAGCAAATATTTAACTGAGCACTTTCCAAGCTCAAAAGACACCTGGGTAGTTTCTAATTCACCTTAGGGACCTCTAATACACAGAACAATTTTCCCTTTGAAGAGCACATATCACAGTACTACCTAAAATGGCACTTAATAAATAATAGTGATGAAGCAATGAAAAGATGATAACACCTGTAAGGGGAGACAGGAGAGCTACCCAAAGCAAACAGTGTGTGCTTCCCTTGCCAGCCGAAAGCAGGGATGGATTACAGAGATCAGATGAGTAGCACAGAATCTCGAGTGGGCAGGGGCTTTGGAGGTCTCCTCATCCAACCTCCAGATCAATGATCAGAGAGGACTCTCTCTTTCACGACTCCTCTACTGGAGACCAGCCTGCTCCTGCCTGAAGCATCCCCTCAGGTTGCCCCAACAGAGTGAGAGAGTTCCAAGCTGGAGAGAGCCCTTCCTCCGGGTCCCTTTCTGCCTTCCAGTGACTTTCACTGATTGCCCCCACAGCCTGCTGGACACCTCAGCTCCTCCCTCACACCAGCCCTGCCGTGTTGGACCAGAGTCTGGTCCCGTCAACTTCTCCCCCTTTAGGACTAAATGTGCCCAGGTCTTTCAGTCATTCTTCACGTGTCCTGGCTTCCAGAACAAACAGGATGCTCCATCCCCATCACTTTAATCTTACCCACAGTTTGGTTCCACTGTGCATTTATTTGGAGCTTAGCATTCCAGGCACTCAACAGCTGCCCTCCATTCCTAGGTGTCCATGTTCATGTGTATTTCTTCCTTGCTCTACAACATGACTCACCATATTCTCAAGACCTAAGTGTTAAAGACAATGTGCATGCTTTTCCTATTGAAGTATTTTTCTATTGTGGAAATTTTCAAAGGTACAAAACATAGGAGCATGAACTCCTGTGTCCCCATCATTCGGCTTCATTACATCAGTCTTGTTTCACCTACTTCCCATCTTCTTTCCTCTTTCTTTCTTTCTTTCTTTCTTTCTTTCTTTCCTTTCTTTTTCTTTAAGTAGAGGCATACGTCGTTTTATTCCACTTCACTTTACTGTGCTTTGCAGACAGTGCTTTTTTTTATTTTAAATAACAAATTGGCAGTTTGTGGCAACTCTGCACCAAGCACCATTTTTTCCAACAGCATTTACTCACTTTGTGTCTCTATGTCACATTTTGGTAATTCTCACAATATGTCAAACTTTTTCCTTATTATGTGATCAGTGATTATGACTTGCTGAAAGCTCAGATGATGGTTAGCACTTTTCAGCAATATTTTTAAACTAAGGCAAATATGTTCTTTTTTTTAGACATAACATATTGCACACTTAATAGACTATAGTATAGTGTACTGGGAAACCAGAAAATTGAGTGGACTCGCTTTTTTGCAGTCTTTTCTTTATTGTGGTAGTCTGAAACTGAACCCACAATATCTCCAAGATATGACTATATTCTATTTTTATTTATCCTAGAATGTTATTGACTGTATTCCCTGTGCTGTACTTTTCATCTCCAGGACTTATTTATTTTGTACCTCTGAATTCCCTTTATCTTTTCACCCATCCCCCACCTACCTCCTCTCTGGTAACTACAAGTTTGTCCTCTGTATTTAAGAGTCCATTTTTTTGTGGGGCGCCTGGGTGGCTCAGTGGGTTGAAAGTCCAACTTTGGCTCAGTTCATGATCTCACGGTGTGTGAGTTCGAGCCCCACATCAGGCTCTGTGCTGACAGCTCAGAGCCCGGAGCCTACTTTGGATTCTGTGTCTCCCTCTCTCTGCCCCTCCCCCACTCATGCTCTGTTTCTCTGTCAAAAATAAACATTTTTTAAAAAAAGAGTCTGTTTTTGTTGTTGTTGTTGTTTTGCATTTTAGATTCCACATATAAGTGCAATCCTATAGTATTTACTTATTTCACTTAGCATTACACCCTCTAGGTCCAACTATGTTGTCACAAGCAGCAAGATCTCATTCTTGGGGCACCTGGCTGGCTTAGTCTGTACAGCATGTGACTCAACCTTTGGGTCATGGGTTCAAGTCCCATGTTAGGTGTAGAGCTTACTTAATTAAGAAAAAGAGAGGGAAGTGTAGGTTTGTATTTTTTTTTCAACGTTTATTTATTTTTATTTTTGGGACAGAGAGAGACAGAGCATGAACGGGGAAGGGGCAGAGAGAGAGGGAGACACAGAATCTGAAACAGGCTCCAGGCTCTGAGCCATCAGAGCCTGACGCGGGGCTCGAACTCACAGACCGCGAGATCGTGACCTGGCTGAAGTCGGACGCTTAACTGACTGCGCCACCCAGGCGCCCTGTGTGTATCTTTTTAAACAAGATCTCATTCTTTTTTTATGGCTCAGAAATATTATATGTATACATACATATCACTCTTCTTTATCCATTCATCTGTCTGTGG